GCCACAAGTACTCCTGTTCTTCTTTTCATGGTAGCAAAGAGCACCATGATTAATTTAAACACGTTTGTCGGTTATATGACATCATCTCCATAAACTAAAGAGCTTAACTCCAATGTCACGCCCTCCAACTCATCTAACGTTCTTAATGTCCAGTTTAAAAAACATGATGAAAAGCTACATTATACGCCACAGGTATAAAACAAACTACTAAAACATATCTAAGCATGTTTGCCATTTGAACTTCTGACACTCCTAAATGGATTTTGGTAAATGAAACGGTAAGCCATCTTAATACTTACATAATTCCCAATGACTTATTTTCACGTCTTAAGTTAAGGAAGTGAACCTTTGCTATAGTAGAGACCTGCTGTTTCCAGAGAGCTGTATTGCTTACTGCAGATGATTTTGTCTCAGAGAGTATCAGTAGGCTTTGTTCCATCTCATCAAGCGATTTTGTATCCACTTCCTCGCCTGCTGACTGGGAATTAAATATGCTATAATCTATAGGGAAAAAGAGGGGCATATAAACGAAACATAGGATTTACCTTTCCTGATGAAGTCAATGGACCACGTCATGTAGTATCCTGCCTTCAGGAGTAGCCAAATATTGGTGGTAGAAATGCATCTAAACAAACTGTGCAATGTTGTACAGAAGCAGAAAAACCCTTTCTGATCCCCTACGCAACCAGCATACACGCAAAAGATGGAGATTTTAATTAGCCCAATTAATTTAGCCTATGCAACTACCAATATTGCTAGATAACATGGATTATTCAGCTGTTAAACTCTTTCTAAACAACTTTCCGAATATAGGATAGTTCAATACCCGTAGTTAACAACAAAGCCTAGAAAGGTGAGAATACTTTCATCTATTAAACATGGAACCTAGAAGGGTATTGCTTACTTTTAGAGTAATCTCCTAAATGATAGCAAGAAGCATTTCAAACAGGCCTCTGATTTTACACCCACATTCATATGTGTTGCAATTAATTGTGGGTATAAATGATGGTTAGATATTTAAATTCTATTTACAGATACAAATATATTTTTCAAATCAAGTGGCTGGAAATCTAAATTGTATTTCCTGTGTCCACAGTTGAGTGCAAGTTTCCATAGGGAAACGTATATTTTGAACTTTCAGCCTTATTTAAAAAAAAGGACATTAGATTTAAGGACTCTGAAATTTATCCCTGTACAGAGGTTCAGCACAAGACCTGTACAGCTCTGGACCTCAGACAGGGTTCATTCTCCAACCTCTTTGCCCTTTGTTTGCTGTTCTGGTCAGGTATTTCAAGGAGCCCACAACAGCATGTGTTCTTAATTGTCACATACTGTTCGATGCAAAATTCTATGATAGGACATTTGTGTTATTTCGGCTTTTCATAGTGAAAAGTGCTCAATACAATTTTACAAAAATTAACCACGACTAATCAAGTCACAAAGAAAAAGATAAATATAGTTACATCTCACCTGCTTGATCAATTTCTGCTTCAATTTCCAGCTTCAGGAACACATCCTCCAACGTTGTCATGGAAACTCCATAAGTAATAACACCCAAATGTGAATGAGTGTCTAGATCAGAAAATAATCCTGTAGAGGTGAAATAATGTGATTGCTTGGCAACAAAATTACATTTGCCCACCAGAATTGCCTCTGATTTAATAAAAAGCCATAGCGTGCCCCACAACGAATACACACAATATATGTACAATATGAGACCCAGGCCATGGCGCTATAGTTAATGCTGAGATGAGTTTTGCGTTTAAAGCAGATCTTCAATCAGTATGTTAGGTATGAGAAACGCAGCACATTCTCCCCAAAACAACAGCATTTACTCTCCTAGTAAAAAATGAATTTTTTGAGAACTTACAAGTAAGTCCATTAAATAGTTTAGGAGTTAAAATTAATTTTAAAATGAGCCCTTAAAGAAATGTAGCACCTGTCAGACCTGTGCTTTGTCCCAAGTGGTCTTAGTAATAGAAATCAGTGACATTTTCTGAATGGTTTATTCACAAAAAGATGCATACACACTCCACCCCCTCCATACACACCCCTGAAACTGCATGTGTCTGTGTCATTTTTAGCCCAGTGGTTGCTTGGGTTGTAGGAGACCCAGGTTTGAATCCCCACTCTTGAGCAGAGACATGAATTCAGAGCTCCCCCTTCTCAGATGAAGGGTCCTGATCACCAGGCTATAGGCATTCCGCTCCCAATCTCTTCTGTTGAAGCTGCTCTACTTTTTATGACTACATAAATATTCATTGGGCCAGGGACAGAGATAGAATGACTCTCTAGATTGGAGTTTAAGGCACTCACCGCTTAGGTAGGAGTTGTCGATTCAAGTTTTCTCTCCATCTGATTCAGAGGAGGATTTGACTCTATATGTCCTACCTCCATGCAGAGTATTAAGGTATGGAAGTGCAAAGTCAGAGCACCCAAACAACCTTGCAAGATCCCTGCAATATATTTTACATCTATACTCTCAACCTTAACTCCATTTTAAAGCAGTTTTTGTCTGGGATTTGATTCAATCCATTGTATTAGTTCTACACTCCCTCTCTCATAGCAGCAAATTTCCCTGTGATGACACAATGTCCTTTCCAGCTCACAACGGGCTGTATGGCTCGTATCTCTTTTGCCATCCGTACATTAAAATGGTCCAAGTTATTTTTTTATTTCAATTTGATAAAAGCAAAAAGGGCGTGCGTAGTACAAGAGCTTTATCTTGGACCAAGAGGAGGGTCCTCTGCATTTCCATTGTTAAAACCTATCCTCCTCTGCTTTACGTATTTACTGCCAAAGCCTCATCTCACAGTTAACGTACCAGGCTTCCTGTCAAGGAAGGCTAGGCTGCCTTGAGCAGCTACTAGGAGAAAGAGGTGATGGACCCCCTCTCCTCCAGATGCTAAACGCAGTCCCTAAAGCAGTCTTAGGGCTTGTCTACACTTGAAACGATACTGCAGCTGCACCACTGTAGACACTACCTACGCCGACGGTAAATCGTCTCCGGTTGGCGTAGATAATCCACCTCCCCGAGAGGTGGTATCTAAATTGATGGAAAAATTCTTCACATCAAACTACTGCTGTTTACACCAGGGGTTAGGTTGGTTTATTAACGGCATTAAGGGGGTGTGGATTTTTCACACCCCTAAGCAATTTTAGCTGGATCGACCTAACTTTTTAGCATAGACCAGGCCTAACTATGTCAACACTACAAGTGCTCCAGCAGCACAGCTATGATGCTGTAGTGTAGACACTTACTATAGTGACAAAAGGGGTTTTTCTATCACTGTAAGATATCCACCCTCAGGAGATGGTAGCTAGGTCAATCCATCAACCTAGAAGTGTCTATACAGGGCTTAGATCAGCGTAACTGTCTCACAAGGGTGTGAATTTTTCACACCCCCTTAGCAAAATAGCTAGGTTGATTTCAATTTCAGGTGTAGAGCAGGCCTTAGTCCCCACCTGCCCAAGAAATGAATGAGTGCCTGGGAATTAAGGCAAAGAACATGCTTACAAATTTTCAACACTATTGTCAGTTTTCACTGTCTAATTATAAACATCAGAAAAAGTACATCTGTAAAGAAAAATGACAACATACTTCTCTGAAGGCACCATTATGATCAACTGATTTCCCCCTACACACACATTAGCTCAGCACTGAATTACAATAGCATCATACCTGAAAACTTGTCCATGTCTTTAAAAGGTAAGGTATACACAAGCTGCAGTTCATTCTGTTGTACCAAGCTGGCTCCAGGGATATGCTGTCTGATCAAGGCTGTTGTAGCTTCTGTATTGCAATACCCATCTATGTGCATACTAAAAACACAAAGTATTTTAAAACCTCTTTGTTTCTTCATTGCCATTTTTTGAAAGTGTAGCCAACAGAGCAACAAAACAGAGTGAAAGTGATATCTGACCTTCCCAAATGACAGAAAAATAAAATCTTTAAAAATTTAGTAGGATATTTTAAAATTATCCTACATCTTAAGGGGAAGACAAAGCAAATATAACATGACACAATGAAGGTGGCTTATAAACTACAAAATAATACCTCAAGCGGTAGCCAACTCCCCATTTGGTTTTGAGGAAGAGAGACGAGCCAACACATTTCAGCATCCCTTGAGAAATCACAGCTTTTCGATCTAGAAACAAAAAACAGGCGTTTTTATTCTGAGGACCCTCAATCTACTCATAAAACAATGGCATGACTAAAGAGAGAAAACTCTGCTATCTACTGACAGTGGAAGGAGCACCTGTTTACCTTACATGCTAAATACAGTTCTAATTTACACTTTGCAAGCCCCCAGTAAATATATCCCACAGGGCCACAGCAAAACTCACCAGCAAGAATATCTGCCTCATCCATGAAATGAGTACTGAATACTGTTACCCGATTGGCTTGTCTGTTTTTCAGGAGATTCCAAACAACGTGCCGAGAACATGGGTCCATACCAGCAGTTGGTTCATCCAAGAGTAAAACCTACATAATGATTAGGAAAAAGGGCATAAAAAAATCCAAACCCTCCACAGTCACATCTGAGATACCCACATCACAAAATCCGACAGAAACCAGGAAGACTATTAATTCAAGGGCAGTTATGCTCTATTTGTTTAAAGGTAGGGTGGGAAAAATTTCTTACTTTAACCAACTAAAAGGCATGCAAAACATCCATCATCACTGCTTTCTTTTTTAAAAAGTACATCACCTATTTGTGATAAACAGAAAGTCACACGCTATGTCACAGAAATGCATCTTCACAACTGGATATGTGCGGTTCCCACTATAAATAAATTTCAACTACAATGGTAAAAAGACACATTGGTTCCTTTTACCAATAGTTGGTGAAATTAAATATGTATGTTTTTAAAAAGGTAGGAAATCATGAAGGGGATGGTCACTTACATCTGTACACTGCAGCCTTTAAACATGTACCCAGTCTAAAGGAGCATCACACCTTATAGGTCACAAATAGCAACCATTTAACTCCGTAATCAGATAGAGCCATATACTCTCTGTCATGTCCCAGGTGCTTGCATGGCTTTTTCAGGCCATGAGCCTGCTCTCTCTGACAACTTGCACTGTACTGTTTTTAGAGGGTGCAATGCGCTACCCTCCATTCCAGATGCAATGTAACTTTTTATGCTAATTTACCACAGAAAAGCATGATATAATCCAGTTAGTACATTCACTAACACAGTTAACTCTTTGCAATGTAAAGGTTGCATGCTTCAACTTGGCAATTTTAATTGTTTAAGCCAGAGTTGGTATGAAACATAGGAGCAGTTGACATATTTTTGCACCTTATTTGCATCGCTTGTAATTGCCAAGTAATATGAGCACAGGTACACCATATATATGGAACAAGCAGTAATTTAGAACTGTGCTTATGCCCCCTTACCTTTGGGCTCCCAAGAACAGCGATTCCTATCGACAGCTTTCTCTTTTGCCCTCCACTTAATTTTTTAGCTTGGTTATCTCGGATGGGCTGCATATCCAAATCATTCATCACTTTCTGCACCTTTAAAAATATACCAACAGGAGTGTTTCATGTCAACAGAAATGAGATACAGTGATTAGAACATGACTGGCATAATTATCAGCAATCTTATGTTATAGTTTGACAAATTATTGATCATTTTAAATTTTTCTAATTAATATTTTTAAGCCCCTTTCCTGAAATGAGCTTCTTGGAGGCAAACCCCTGTACCAACTGTCAACGCAGTGTCTATTACAGGATCAGGGCCTTGAAGTTTAACCTACCAAGAATGGATAAATTACAGGAGGCCAATGTTTGTAAACATGCATTAGTATTTAGATGTTCCATTTTGTTCTTCTAGAGCAAACAAATTCAACAACCTTTACCTAAAGAAAGTATCTTCCTATATTTTCCCTCTTCAATAAAACAGCGTATTGGTCTTTTATTGTAAACAAGACTTGCAAAGCAACTTCCATTATGCAATCAATAAAACTATTTTAATAAACAGTGAATACACATTGTATAGAATTTATACCCGAGTGACCTACCTCTTGTATCAGAGCATTGGGAGATATCCCTTTAATATGAGCAAATATTGATAAATTCTCTTCCACAGTTAATACGTCAAAATGTATATCTAATTGTGGGCAAACGCCCGTTATCTTTCGTACATCAAGCATTTCATCAATTTCAGAGATTCTGTGTCCATAGACAGATGCAAACCCTAAAGAACAAAAAGTTTAAAAAAACTGAAGTGTTTTTTAAACCCAACCACCACTTTGATTATCAGCACAGACACGCTAACTCCACCAATTAAAATGTATGTATAATTTAAAATTAACCTATTTCAGAATAGCCTGAGAAAAGGAGTGTAACTTGAAATATCCTCAAACGTCAGTGGCCTCAGGTTTTGAAGGAAGGAAAAAAGGACATTAAAATTAGTAGATTACAGCCATACACTTCCTATTTTTTCCTAAAGCCAGAGAATTCTCACCATCAGAAGGTGGGCAGAGTCCACAAAGAATGTTCATCAGTGTTGTCTTGCCTGTTCCACTGTGCCCAAGTAAAGCTGTAATCTGACCCTCATATATGTCAAAGGATAAACCTGACCCAGAAAGAAGAAAGGAACAAGTGAAATAAGAAGTTAGTGACATTGGTTGTGTTATTCTGCACAGGTTTACGTCACTGCAGTAAATTCAAATACTGGCATATAGGTTATGCATTTATGTTGTATTCCAAGGAACATCTCACCTCAACATTTTAACACAGCCTGGTAAAACTGCAACAGCAGCAATAAATAAAAGTGGGGATTAGATTCTCTGCTAGCACTGCCTATGAGGAGACCTGAGCTTAGAAGCAGTTAGTGCAGTGGTTCTCAACCTATTTACCATTGTGGGCCAATATGCAGCTCTCTTTGTGTTATGTGGGCCACATCCACATGATATATATACTACCTGTATGGCCCTGATGATGTCACATGAGCCACAGCTGTGTGCTGACTGGGCCACAAGCAGCCCACGGGTTGAGAACCACCAAGTTAGAGGCTCCCATACCACCAGCTCACGGGAGCCAGTAAGAGGTTCCTCTGTGCATACTCACTGGAGTTAGGAGACAGAAAAGGGGACTAGGAGAATGAAGGGAAAGACGACACCCCACAAGGTAAAGGACTGAAGAGGAGGGAAATCCTATAGAGTCTGTTCCGAGCCCCTTTGTCATACAGTTACAGGCAGACTGGCTAAAGACACGAGGGAGAACACACCCAACCATATTTAACACTTCATGCTCCCACCCGAAGAAAAAGCACAAAAGACATTCATGGGTTATTTCTCCTTCCATTTCTGATACGAAGCTTAGAGGGTAGAAATTTTCTTACTTCTGAGAGCCTCCACAGTTTCACCCTTTTTTCTGAATGTTTTCTGAACACAGCTGATTCTGAAAGAAGACATGTCATTTTATTAAAGAAGAAGAGCTTAAAAATATCATTTTCTTTTGCAAAAAAAGATCAAGATGAACAACTCTGCAATGCTGATATAGGAAGGTTTTGACACATTTTACTGCTGTGCTGAAATCACACAAAATGTGTTGGAAAAACATGTAAGCAAACCAAGAGAGTGGACATCTTTTTGCAATCTTTTGCTTGAATTGTTTATATTATTGCCTCTCTGTGCTGGCAATATGGGGCGGGGGTGTGTGTGTTTCCGCATTGACTTCAGTATTTTCTATCATGGCAACTGAATAATTCTTTAAGTAACCCATACCGTTATTTATTTCTAATAGCACCAACAATGTACTAGGCACTTTCTAAACAGAAAAGAAGGCCCAGTCTATGCCCCAGTCAGCTCACAGGAGACAGACAGATGGATGGTAGACAGAAGAGGTGAAATGTATTATTAGAGTGGACAAAGTGGTGATAAGTAAGACTAAGTTAACCCTGCTATGTTTTTCCTCTTCTAAGGAGGATATATGAAATCCCCGTCCTCCCCCACAATTACGCCTCAAACATATTAAGATAAAGGTAGTTCAGCTAGTTTCTCCGAAGGCCCCATGACAGAGGTAGGTCTTTGAGAACTATATGAACTCAGAAAGTGTAGAGGCTGTACAGATGAAGTCAGGAGGTGCGATCTATGTGTGGAGAGCAAGGTGAGGGGAAAGGGTCTGAAATCTTTGTGTGAGAAGCTGACAAATATGGGAGGATGATGCTGGCACCAGTGACTCAGGGGAAAGCGTTGGTTGATGTGGAATGAGGCAAGGAGTAAGAATGATCCAGCATTTTATATGAGCTTAGGAAGATCTGGGGAGAAAACCTGACCTTCACACTGAAGTGGATTTATTCAAAACAATTTTTTGAGACATTAACAAAACAAACAAACAAAATCAGTCTGATTCTGGCCACTGAACACAAATATTTTTGTTTGAGACTAATGAGTTCTACTGATCGCCATATTTGGGGTCGGGAAGGAATTTTCCTCCAGGGTAGATTGGCAGAGGCCCTGGAGGTTTTTCGCCTTCCTCCGCAGCATGGGGCAGGGATCGCTAGCTGGAGGATTCTCTGCTACTTGAAGTCTCTAAACCACAGGATTTGGGGACTTCAACAGCAGAGTCAAGGGAAAGTGTTGGGACCGCTTTGTGGCCTGCATCATGCGGGTCAGACTAGATGATCATAATGGTCCCTTCTGACCTTAAAGTCTATGAGTCTATGTAAGAAAAATGGAGATTTCGATTATTTCTCAATGTCTATCATGCCACCATAACAGCAAATAACAATAGCAGCAATTTCATAGCTCATATGGAGATTGAGACTAAACGTTGATATTAAAATATTGGGAATATCTGAAGGTACAGATGTAAGAGAATTAATGGCATTTTCCACATGGACTGCAAAAGATGCTGGAAATGGATCACTTTTACGGTGCTGTTGTATATCATGTCCTGGGAAAGCTAGTCTAGTGGCTCCCCTGTGTGGCTTTGGTGGAATGTGCAATTCTTCACATAAATACCAAAAGGATTTACAAAACCTATCTGAATCCAGTTTTCAAGATTTAATAGAAAAATACTTTTTTCTTGAACTGTAAACCCACCTGACTTCGGCATCTGAAACCACTAATGGCATCACTGAAACCGAAGAAACTGGATTTCATTTTGCTTCATCCTGCTAGACTAAGAATATTTTCAGGAGGTTTGATTTGATTGACATACAGTAGGTAAACGTTTCCTTTTCCAAAATCAACTTTGTCGTCTTTGGAAAACATCCATATAATGGAAAATGTGGCTTCATAGAAAATGGACAATTGCTACTTAAATGTGTAAAGAACTAGATGTAATGCATACCATATGCTAATTGAATCAACAGATTAAAAATTACTGTTAATTCCCAGGCACACACGAAACAGGAGAAGTGCGACAATGAATCTGTGCCATTGCAGGAAGTTATACCTGATAGCTTCTTTTCCCTGAAATTCTGAAGATACAGGTTCAACCATCTCACTGAAACTTAAGCTTCCATTAACACTACTCTCATATAACTCCTTGTAATTTCTTCTGCGCTTTGACCAAAATGAGGGCTTCATAAAGAAAAATGATGTCCGTCGTAATCCAAACTCACCTAAGCAATAAGAAAGAAAGAAAGCCTTCTGAATGTTAAGCACAAATATGATTCAGTGTTTGAATTTTGGCTACAAAAACTGGGCCTAATCATGCCACATTCCTTATCTTGGCATTAAACCCACCACTACGGTTCTGATTAAGGAAAGCATCCCTATTCAGCGAAGTCTATCCTTAAGTGTTTTGCTGAGAAGTGATAGATTTATGCAAGTATTTAAATACTTTCCAGAATCAGGATCTTGAGAAGAGTGATTTAAATACACACTTCAAAGAAAAAGATCAGAGGCAAAGGATTTTGTATTGAAAGAGCTCACGCATGCAGTAGAGAGGAATATGTTCATAGGTATTAATAAATTTGTTCCTAGATGTATCACACTTATTAACACATCAATAATTTAACATAAACATCTTTGAAAGACACAATTCCCAAGAACAACAATTGCAAAGACTGTGATAACAGCTTGGTCAGTAAGGAAAGAAAATTATTCTGGAACAGTAAGAAGAACTTAACGTAAGAATGGCAATACTGGGTCAGACCAAAGGTCCATCTAGCCCAGTATCCTGTCTTCTGACAGTGGCCAATGCCAGGTACCCCAGAAGGAATGAACAGGTAATCATCAAGTGATCCATCCCCTGTCGCCCATTCCAATCTTCTGACAAACAGAGGCTAGGGACACCATCCCTGCCCATCCTGGCAAATAGCCACTGATGGACCTATCCTCCATTAATGTATCTAGTTCTTTTTTGAACCCTGTTATAGTCTTAGCCTTCACAACATCCTCTGGCAAGGAGTTCCACAGGTTGACTGTGTGTTGTGTGAAAAAAATACTTCATTTTGTTTGTTTTAAATCTGCTGTCTATTAATTTCATTTGGTGACCCCTAGTTCTTGTGTTATGAGAAGGATTAAGTAAGACTTCCTTATTTATTTTCTTCACACCATTCATAATTTTATAGACCTCTATCATATCCCCCCTTAATCGTCTTTTTCCAAGCTGAAAAGTCCCAATCTTATTAATCTCTCCTCATGTGGCAGATGCTCCATACCCCTAATCATTTTTGTTGCCCTTTTCTGAACCTTTTCCAATTCAAATATATCTTTTTTGAGATGGGACGACCACAAAACAGATATAACAAAACATAACCAAGCAGAATCAAACCCTAATCTGTGTGGTTTTTTTCCACTTCATTAGTATATTTCAGAAAAGTAAAATTTATTTGAATGAAAAACCATATATTTTAAAGTAATATTTAAGACATTTATAAATACATTTCTAAATATTTAACAGCCACACTTCTCTTTTTGCTTGACGTGAGTGATGCTTTACATGAAGTTAAAGAAAAAGAAGAACACAGAAAGTGGCATTACTATATACCAAAGTGTCTTGGACACTTTATTTAAATACAGTATATTAGAGCCATCAATTAAGGGTCTGGTTTTCAGAAGTGTTTAACACCCAAAGCTGCCAGATTTCAAGTGGACTTATGAAATTCAGGACCTATGTGGTTCTGTTCAATATTTATCTCAGATTCTAAACAACATACCTGGAATGACCTGATCAAGATAGACAGCTAGAAGTAGGTAAAACATGCTATCCAGAACCAGTAAAATAAGAGAAATAACTAGTGGATAAGGGCCGTGATTTAAATTTGAAAATATTGCACCATCTTCATAATCTTCCAGATACATGACCTGCAAAACAACATGAAAAAGTTTAGATGCTACAAACTGCCTTTTCACCAACCTGAAATTAAACATGACAACACAGTACAAAAATAAAATTACAAAGTAATATTATATAAGAACTAAGGGTGGGCGATTGTCATGGTAACAAATGCAAAAAAGATGAAACTACCATTACAGTTTGTTTGCTGCAGGGAATTATAAAAAGTTATGCTTTATGCCATGAATAAAAAATAAAACATTCACAAATGTACAGAAAAAAAATAAACTATTTAAAATATTTGAAATTGAGGTGAGACAAATATTTGCAGTGTATTTGTAACTTGATAAGTTATATCTTAAATAACAACAGTTACACTGAGTCAGACCAATGCTTCATCTAGCCTTGTATCCGGTCTCTGACAGTAGCCAGTGCCAGATGCTTCAACTAGTCAGAGGTTTAGGGACACCCGGAGCACAGGGTTGTGTCCCTGAGCATCTTGACTAATAGCCATTGATGGACCAATCCTCCATGAATTTATCTAATTCTTTTTTAAACCCAGTTGCACTTTTGGCCTTCACAACATCCCATGGCAACAAGTTCCACAGGTTGACCATGCGTTGTGTGAAGAAGTCCTTCCTTTTGTGTTTTAAACCTGTTGCCTATTAAATTTCACTAGGTAACCCCTAGTTTGTATGTTATGTGAAGGGGTAAACAGTATTTCCCTATTCATTTTCTCCATACCTATCACAATTTAATAGACCTCTATCATATCCCTCCTTAATCATATTTTTTCTAAGATGAACAGTCCCAAACTTTTTAATCTCTCCATACCCTAATCATTTTCGTTGCCCTTGTCCACACCTTTTCCAATTCCAATATATCTTTTTGAGATGGGGCGACCACAACTGCATACAGTATTCAAGTTGTGGGTACACCATGGATTTATATAGCAGCATTATGATATTTCTGTTTTATTATCTATCCCTTTCTTAATGGTTCTTAACATTCTCTTAGCTTTTTTGACTGCCATTACACACTGAGCAGAAGTTTTCAGAGAACTATCCACAATGACTCCGAGACCTGTGGCAACAGCTAATTAAAACCCTATCCTTTTGTATGTATGACTGGGATTCTTTTTTCCACAATGCATTACTTTGCACTTATCAACGCTGAATTTCATCTGCCATTTTGTTGCCCAGTCATCCAGTTTTGTCAGATCTCTCTGTAACTCTTCGCAGTCTGCTTTGGACTTAACTATCTTGAATAATTTTATATCGCCGGCAAATTCTGCCAATTCACTCTTCAACCCCTTTTCCAGATCATTTGTGAAGATGTTGAATACCACAAATTTCAGTACAGATCATCAGGGAATCCCACTATTTACCTCTCTCCATTGTGAAAACTTATCCCTACCCTTTGTTTCCTATCTTCTAACCAGTTACCGATCCATGGGAAGACCTTCCCTCTTATCCTATGACAGCTTACTTTGCTTAAGATCCTTTGGTGAGGGACCTTGTCAAAGGCTTTCTGAAAATCCAAGTAAACTATATAGATCGGATCATTCTTGTTCACATACTTATTGACTCCTTCAAAGAATTCTGATAGATTGGTGAGGCACGATTTCCTTTTACAAAAGCCATGTTGACTCTTCCCCAACATGCTGTGTTTATCTATATGTCTGCTAATTCTGTTGTTGACTATAGTTTCAACCAGTTTGTCTGGTATTGAAGTTAGGTTTACCAGTCTGTAATTGCCAGGATCACCTCTGGACCCTTATTAAAAATAGGCGTTACATTAGCTCCCCTCCAGTCATCTGGTATACAAGCCGATTTAAATGAAGAGTTACATACATTACATGCCACAGTTAGTCGTTCTTAAATAGGAAAGAAAAGTTACATTTTAAAGAGGAAGTAATTAGGTGCTAGACCTGGAAGTGCCAGGCTCAATTCCTTACTCTGCAACAGACTTCTTGTGTAACCTTGGCAAGTCACTTACCCCCTCTGTGTCTCAGCTACTCCTCTGTAAAATGGAGATAACAGTTCTTCCCTATCTCACGGGGGTATTGTGAAGACAAATACATTAAGGCTATGGTGATGGAGGCCACATAAGTATCTTAGCTAGATTTTATATCATAGCAAGTTACTCTTCATTTGTTTGTGCATGCAAAGATAGTAAAGAATAACACAGTTTACTTACCTGTGCAATCCCAATCAAGAACGTACACTGACACAAGGGGCTTAGAATCCATACAAAAGACTTCGGAAAACCATCCAACAGGACAATAGTGAGACCCACAAAACCAAAAGCCAGTGTTGCCAAAAATTCAACTATACCCACATGCTTTGATTTTTTAAATAGAGGAGTCAGCATGAAAGCAAAGAAAACCTAGAATACAAATCAGAACATCATTACAGAACACAAGAGATCTGGCATAGAAATGCTGCAATTAACATTTTTATCTTCAATGAAGAAGTTACTTTCTTTTGTACAATAATTGCAATGCTTTGCCAAGACTTTATCCCTGTTAACATCAATACCTCTTTTGGTAAAAATAGGCCTTCAACAATACAACTGATTTCCTAATATTGTCCATGTCATAGAGTGAAGAACTGAAGTATTAAACAATAAATTAAGGGAGACATACTTCAATGTTCTTCACATTATGAAACTTTTTCAATCATAAATTAAGAAACTATAATAAATAATATTGCAATTGTTTAAAATTCTCTAAGTGACTTGTATAGATTCATATAGTAATAAAGTGGAATCTCCAAGCTTCAGGTAGGGTCACAATTGTTATTGAAGTGATCCACAATTGTACAGTAAAAGGAACGCAGTACAACATTTTGCAAAGTTTAGAAGAGACAAGGTATGGGAAGTTGAGAGTCAGCACAAAACTAATGTAAGGCCCCAGGGGTCTAGAACTCAGGCCTGCAGTGCTGCTGCTGCCATCTCCATGCTGCCGCTGTAACCAGCTTGCACTCCACAGCCCAGGATCCACTGTGGACACAGATGACAGGAAGTCCCACCTCAACAGGTCTGACAGACAGCAGCCCCATGACTCCTGATTGGCTCCCAGCCCTATATAAATCGAAGGGGTGTGCCAGGAAGTGTCCAGGTAACAACGCAAATTCCCTGGAGCTGCCCCAACCATTCCTTGCTCCTGAACTGGTGGCTTCTATCTCGGCTTCCTTTGGACTTCACCTTCTGACTCAGACCCTGAAACCTGACTCGGATTCTGACCCATGGTATCAAACCTGACTGCGCTCCTCCGCTCCTCCCTGCCTCCGGTTTGCCTCTGCTCTGACCCTTGGTCTTGACTGCCTGCGTTGGGATGCTGCCAACTGGAACTCTTCCTTCATTAGAAACTCAATCACGCAAGATGCTGAATACTCTGGCCCTGATTCGAGCAAAGCACTCAATCCTGTGTTTAACTTTAAGCACATTACTAGTCCCACTAATGTCAATATAACTGCTCACGTACTTAACCGGTTTACTGGATTGAGACCGGAGTACTAGGGAGAGACAAGGTAGGTGGAGGTAATATCTTTTATTGGACCAACTTCTGTTGGTTGAACGGACAAGCTTTAGGGCTTTACATAGCTCTTCTTTAGGTCTAGAGAAGGTAGTCAGTGTCCAGCTAAATACAAGGTGGGACAGATTGTTAAGCAGAAGGGGTTCATGCATGTTGTAGTCAATTAACATGAAGTGGACAATTAGCAACTCTACAATAGTAGGACCCTGGAGGGTTAGTAGGAAGCAAGGAGTGTGACAAATGGATGTAATCAGCCATAAAACCAGTGTCTCTATTAAGTCCATGATTTTTAGTGCACTGCAGAGTAATGCATTTAAGTTCCCAAGCTTGTCTTTTGAAGGAATTGTGCAGGTTTCCATTGAGAACAAGGACTGAGAGATCAGATACAGAGTGATCATTTTATGAAAGGTGTTTGCCCATAGGTAAGAGAAAAATGATAAAAGACAAAAACACCCTGTGAGAGTTCATTAGAGAGCGTAGTGATTGTTTCATTTCACCCACATAGTTGTTGTTGGGGCACTGGATGAGGCACACCACATGTTGTGATAGGCATGTGTGGGATGCATGGATCTCGAAAGGTGAGTTGTGGGGACATTGATCATTGTAGCAGTGGAGAGATGGCTGCACATTTTGCATTCGTTGTTCTGGCAGGGTTTCGTGCCACTTTGAGTTGGTGGGTCCTGGTCTGTTGGGAGTTTATGTCTAATGATGAGCTTAGTGAAGTTGGGGGGGAGGGGTTGTTTGAAAGCCAGAAGAGGGGATTCAGAAACTATTTCTTTCAGGATGGGGTCCCCACTGAGCATGGGATGTACCTGTTTGATGAAACCAGTACAGGTTATGATGTAGGGTGGCAGGTGACAAGCAGAGCTGTGAAGTTGGTGTTTGGGTTTTTTTCTGCTGTACTGTAACGTGTTCTCCTGGGGTATCTGGGTGGCCCATTCTATGATGTGATCTACTTCTCTGGTGGAGTGTCCTTGGCTAGTACAGGCAGTTTAAATGTGTTGAGGTGTGTATCCTGAGCTCTCTTTTGGAGCATATTATTTGGAACCTGAGTTCCTGGCTGTAGATAACAGATTTCTTGGCGTATCCCAGAAGTTGATGCTGATATGGGACTGTTCTACAGAGAGTGTGCTAGACGGGTGGTAGTTGTGGAAACTGTGGTGGAAATCCCAGGGAGTTCAGGTCATCTGTCCAGAGGATGAAAATATCATTAATGTATTTCAGGTATATGTATTGGTGGTGCATTTTCCCAGAAATTCTTCTTCAAGGTGGCCCACAAAGAGGTTGGCATATTGGGGAGCCGTCCTAGTATCCATGGCTGTACTCATGGTGTAAACAAAGCGTTTATTGTTAAATATAAACTTCTTATGGGTAAGGATGAAATGGATGAGATTGGCAATGTGTTGGGGGTGGATTGCTGAGTGTTGTCCATTGTCTTGTAAATATTTGAAGCAGACAGCGGTGGGGTAATAGCGACGGAGGTTGGTGTACAGGGAGAGGACGTCCATGGTGGCAAGGATGGTGTTCTGAGGGAGGTTGTTAATGTGGTATAGTTTCTGGAGGAAGTCAGTTGTGTCCTGGAGGAGGCTGGCCCTTTGTATGGTCAGTGATTTGACGATGGTTTCTATAAATCCTGATATTTGCTCAGTAACAGGGTCGTGGCCAGATATGATGGGTCTGCTTGGGTTCCCTTGTTTGTGTATCTTGCAGAGCATGCAGAAGGTCCCTGGGATGGGTTTGTGGGGTATGAAATTGTAGAGCTTCTCTTGAAGTTGCTTGGAGAAGGATTTGATGATATCCTTCAATTCTTTTTTCACTGACAGAAGTAGGTCTAATAAAGATTTGACCACACCTATCTTGTGTCTCTGATATGTTGGGACCAACATGGCTACACCACCACCACAAACCAGAGTACTTGGCATTTTGGGAGACTGAGCCATACATGAAGTAGTGGGGTAAAATAAGCAGGAATAATAAACCTTTAAAAAATCCTATGGTATTTGATTTTAATACATTTCTGCATCTTTGGTATTTCCTATTCAAAGAATAGGAGATATAGTAAATACTTCTGTACATTCAAATACGGGCGTGATAAGGTAATGGTTGGGATTCAAGTGGCCAGCTCAGTACATGTGACACGAGAAGCTACATAAAATCTCCCAAAACAATTGTGAGAAGAAAGAGAATGGTGCGATAAAGGCAGCTGTTTACCATTTGGGATAGGGAAAACTGCATTGGAAACATGTCTAGAATGGGGGAAAACAGCAGATGGGAACAAGCACATTGGAGAGAGTGATCTCAGTGAACCACAAACAAATTGAATTCATGAAACACTTACTGAGGATATTCCATACAGGAAAAAAAGAAGAAATATCACAAAGGAGCTACTTTGGGGAAATAGTGAAGAGGCTGTTGCAATGACTGCCATGAGAATGGACATGACAAAAATCAGAGTTGTGTACAGTAGAACCCAAGACAGCCTGGAAGAAAAGGAAAAACAGGGAAAATTCCTAGATTAACTAAATAATTGTACTGGAATAATTCAAAGTTACAATTCTTTAATATTCCAGAATGCTGCACAGAAGGGAAGCAAAACAATGTGCCAGAATCTCAGAGGAAAGGAGGTCTCTAAGTGCAAATATTATTCTAAGCATCATTGCATGTACTTTCATCCTAATTGCATCAAAATAAAGCAAAACATTGTTCTGAATCTACAATTTTGTAATTTCCATAATTAATTTCCTCGTTTAATTGAAACAGGGTCAGTGAGGAGCAGCTTTCAATAATTAAAGAAAATGCTACTTAAATTTTAATGCCCTAGTCAGTCCAGTAATACAATATTCTTCTATATAAAATAAACCTTGTTGAAAACTCAGAGAACAATTTCCTTCTTAGGAAACAGATGCAGCCTGTGCAAGGGTAAGAAATGTGACACATTTTACTTAGGATATATCTTCACTACCTGCCGGATGGGTGGGCAGAGATCAATCCAGTAGGGATCGATTTATCGCATCTATTCTAGACGCGATAAATTGATCCCCGAGTGCTCTCCCGTCGACTCCTGTACTCCAGTGCTGCGAGAGGGGCAGGCGGAGTCGACGGGGGAGCAGCAGCCGTCGACTCACCTCAGTGAAGACACCACGGTAAGTCGATCTAAGTATGTCGACTTCAGCTATGTTATTCACGTAGCTGAAGTTGCGTAACTTAGATCGATCCTTCCCACCCCCCTCCCCCCCGTGTAGACCAGGGCTTAGCTAACAACTCACTAGATTAGCCCTTTTATAGTGCTTCCAATTTTCAAAATGCTGCACAAACACCACTTAAGTAACATGTCTGCAGGGATGCATTTTATAGAGGGGTTCCCTAAAGCAGAGAAGGGAAGTGACTTGGCCACATGTATCAAGAAATAGTGACTGGGGGGTGGAAGTAGTCTGCTAATATTTTAAATCAAGGGCTTGATCATGCAAAGAGCATTTATTAATGAGAACAACCCAACTGAATCAACTGAACTATTCACAGTAAAAAAGGATTATATTTGGTGGTAGTTTTTTGCAGGATACAGCTCTAGTACACCAATGGTCACCATTACTGGGCATGCAAAGATAAACTAAGATCATTTGTTCCCCTACCACCATACTGTATTAAAATGAGCACACCCACGATATGGAAGAATAGACATTACATGGTATAGTATCAATCATTAAAGAGGATGCACTTTAAAATCTGAACGTCTTCTGCACAGATCTCTCTCTCAGATAGGTTACAATACTACAGCAGTATTCAATCAACCCACATACTGGAACTGATGTGAGTGGAAAGGAGACTGTCACTTGTCCAACTCAACATCAGGAAAAAGGAGTTTCTGAGCTAAAAGGAGGAAAAAATATAGCTCATGCACACAGCATTTTATTTATTCACATCAGGCATTTGGTGTATTTTGAGGGATTTCTTTATATCCACTTAGTAAGGAATGTTCAACCTCACAAATACAAAATGACTGCCGAGAAAGGAGTACTGTGGAAAAGGATCTGGGGTTATAGTGGATCATAAACTAAATATGAGTTAACAATGTAACACTGTTGCAAAAAAAGCAAATATCATTCTGGGATGTATTAGCAGGAATGTTGTAAGCAAGACATGAGAAGTAATTCTTCCACTCTGTTCAGCACTGCTAAGTCCTCAACTGGAGTATTGTGTCCAGTTTTGGGCACCACCATTCAGGAAATATGTGGAATCTCCATCGTTGGAGGTTTCTAAGAACAGGTTAAACAAACACCTCTCAGGGATGGTCTAGATAATACTTAGCCCTGCCTCAGTGCACGGGACTGGACTAGGTGACCTGTCAAGGTCTCTTCCAGTCCTGCATTTCTGTGGTATAAAGCAGAAGAATAATGGAAATATATATGAGGTTTTAGATGAAGCATCATCATTGTGACATTTGCTTTTCAAACAGGCACAAATGACTATGCTATTATAACTGTGTTTAAGCAAGACTTGCCCAACATTCTCATCAATATGACAATAGCCTAAAAAGAAGATTAACAGTAACCAATTGGTGAATTTGAAAAAATTATAAAATAACATGACATTTACTACATTTACCTAAAACGAGAGTTTTGTTGTATACTCACTTACCAAAAGGCGGTGTCATGAAGCCCCATTATCTTTAAAAATTCCTTCAACTTCTTCTCCTTTTCTGCCACAATATGAATTGCCAAATAGTACCCAAAGGGTGAGAAAGCTATTACTAGGTAAATTAAAATAACTGCTCGAGGAAAATAATCGATTTTCATATCAGCAGCCTCTCCCATAATAACAGCTTTAGTCGATTCCAGTTCTTCCCAAACTGAATGATTAGTCTTCAGCTAAAAACAAAGTGAAAGAATACTTTAATCCGTTTGGATTTTACAGCTCCACCAACCAAAAAAACAAACAAACAAACCCCAAAATACATTAACAGGTAAATTCTTTTTTGAGGTAAGACCCAATCCTGGAGGCATTTACACACATGCCATACTTTACTGACATAAGTAGGCTCACAGACTTCCCTGAGACTTTAAACAGGTGCTTGTGTGTGTGTGTAGGTCTTGGGCCTAAATTGTACCAAGTCACAGAATATCACAGTTGAAAAAGTAGGGAAACATGACCTTCTATGGGAAGATGGAGACAGTGAGTGAACAAAACTTTGGGATGTCCATCTCCTAATAAAGGGACTGACCTGTGCAAGAATTTGTCAAATAGCGACTAGAACTAGAAAGAAGTAGTGGAAAAGAATTCAAAACGAACACTGACCAGGAACAAATCAAACCAATCCATACATGTTAGGTAGTAAAACAATTAAGAACTTCAGCTCAGCAAGGTAGAAGATTCATCCCACTGCAAGACTGGCATACGTAACTGGATTAACCTCCTTTAGAGAAAGCGGACATTTGCTAGTAGGACACCATGGTACCCACTGTCCAGATTGGCATGTCTGATTATTACAGAACGGCTCAAAACCTCAACTTGTGACAACTGTTGCACACTCCCCACTAAGAATTTTTAGATAATGGCGTTATGTTCAAGCTATTAACCATGGCAATCACCAAAAATGAAGTTAACAGGGCTATGGTAAAACACTAACTGCATTCAATGCTATTGACATTTGCCCACGAATATTACCAATACAATGTGAGTATTTACAGTACATAGCGTAAAGAATCCACAGGTAAAGCAATGGGATGAGTAATGCTGCTTTTCAAAATTTCCATATCTGTCACTTGTGTTCTGCAAAAGCTGTATGCAAGTTAGATACAGAGTCCAAAGTTTTCACATCCTTAAGATCTGCCATGGGAGCTACTCCCTAACTTAAGATTTGTCTGGCATCTTTTTATCTATATGAGGTGCTCTAAGAGCAGTTCCATTCTATATAACATACCTAGTTATTAATGGGGATTGTAGCTATTAAGTCAGACACGGGATACAGTTCATACAGTTACAATATCTTTGGGGTAAAAATGTGTCTTGTGGAATGAGAATTATCCTCAATTTCTTGGCTACCAAAAATCGGTTTCATTTCTGCCTTCTGTCCCAAACCTTTTACAAATCCATCAGTAGGAGGACACATGCCTTCCTACCAATCACCACTCAGACTGGTATTAAGCATGCATCCATTAAAAAAATCCATCTGGTTACAAACCAGAGTTGCAGCATTAACTCAATTAAAAATTTAAAAGGTTCACATTTAATACAGACCATGTAAAATAATACACAAGATTGAGCCAACAGAGCAAGAAAACCCCTTGCTTATCTTGCTACACTAGCTCAAATACCATTCTGTGATAACTGTTGGCAACTGCTAACATTTTTAATGACTGCCGTTGCATACACATCACACTCACGTATTGAGATGCATAACAATGTACAAACAAAAACAACAAGGAGTCTGGTGGCACCTTAAAGACTAACAGATTTATTTGGGCATAAGCTTTCATGGGTAAAAACCTCACTTCTTCGGATGCATAGAATGAAAGTTACAGATGCAGGCATTATATACTGATAATTATATACTGAAACACCAGTTTCAATTATTTTGGTAATTTATTTAATAATACCTGCCAGTATATAATGCCTGCATCTGTAACTTTCACTCTGTGCATCCGAAGAAGTGAGGTTTTTACCCACGAAAGCTTATGCCCAAATAAATCTGTTAGTCTTTAAGGTGCCACCAGACTCCTTGTTGTTTTTGTAGATACAGACTAACACGGCTACCCCCTGATAATGTACAAACAGTAATGCCATTCGTTTAAATGTGAATACTCATTGCTGCAAAAATATTACAAAAATGCAAGAAAATCGAAGGGGAACACATCTTGAAAGAAATCTTTCCTGAACCCCTTCTTCTAGCCTTCAAACACCCCAACCTTGCCAATCTCATCATCAGAAGCAAGCTCCTCACAGACCAGGAAACACCAACTTGAAGCAGCACCAGACCCTACCATAGCAACAGATGCAAAACCTGTAGCCATATTTCCACTGCTACAGTGATCAATACCTCCACAACACACCTTTCAAGATCCATGGGTCCTACACATGCCTATCATATGTGATGTATTTCATCAAATGCCCCAACAATAACTACGCAGGTTAAACCAGACAATCACTGCACTCTTGAATGAACTCTTGCAGAAAAATAATAAAAGACCCATCATCTGTGTGCAAACACTTCTCACAAAACAATTACGCCGTATCTGCCCTCTCAGTCCTCATCCTCAAAGGACACCTGAGCAACACCTTCAAAAGATGAGCCACGAAGCTTAAATTCATAACTCTGCTAGACACCAAAAATCACGGATTCAACAGACACTGATTTTATGTCTCATTACAACAATCTGTAACCCATTACCTCTACACTGTCCTATGACTGCAGAGGTGTTAATTGCTCACTTCATTTTGAATAGTTTCTTACAACAGGTGTTACTCCTTATGCTTAATGGTCTGTTCAACCTTTAATTTAGCTGTGACACTCTAATTACCTTCTCAGACCTGAAGAAGAGATCTAAAGCTTGTCTCTTTCACCTACAAAAGCTGGTCCAATAAAAGTTATTACCCCACCCACCTTCTCTCTCAGAAACATTTTGTTAATCAGCTGTAAACCAATTTTAGTACCCTATACAATGCTTCAGGAGCACAGCTGTACTGATACACCCTGCCTCTGCAGCGCATCTGGTGAAGATACTCTATGCTGACGGGAGAGAGCTCTCCTGTTAGCATAAAGAAAACCATCTCCGCAAGTGGCAGAAGCTATGCGCTGTGCACATAAGTGCTTATATTGGTTTCACTTAGGGCTTGTCTACACTGCAAAGTTGTTGACAAAACTTTTGTCTTTCATGGGTCCTTAAAATAGCCCCCCCGCAAAAGACAAAAGTTTTGCCGACGCAAGTGGCAGTGTGAACGCAGCTTTGTCTGCAGGAGCGCTCTCCTGCCAAAAAAGCTAACGCTGCTCGCGGGGCTGGAAGTATTTTGTCAGCAAAAGTGCCCACAAGGTACCAAAAAAAAAAAAAAGCGTTTACACACGCTGACTTTTAGCGATAAGGCCTTGTCGCTAAAAGCTGCGTGGTGGAGACAAGCCTTTATATTGCTCGGGGGTGGTGGAATATTCACACCACTGAGCGACATAAGTTTTGCCGACATGGGCTGTAGTGTAGACACAGCCTAACAAGACAAAAAAAATCTCATTACAAGAATACCAAAGCAAAGGCTATTTAAGCAATTTTGCCTTTTCATTTTACTTATCTATATTTACCTGTATTATTGCTGCATCAATACAAGCTTGTAGAGCTGCAAATCCCGAGTGCCAGTAGGTAACAGATTCACATCCCTTTGATAAACTAGAACAACTGGCTATGGAAAAATAAAGACATTTTAAAGCAAAAACCTGGAGTTATTTGTTTCTTGTTCATGATGTAGAATCATAGAATATCAGGGTTGGAAGGGACCTCAGGAGGTCATCTAGTCCAACCCCCTGCTCAAAGCAGGACCAATCCCCAACTAAATCCCCAAAACCCTTAGTGGCCCCCTCAAGGATTGAACTCACAAGCCGGGGTTTAGCAGGCCAATGCTCAAACCATTGAGTTATCCCTCTCCCTTTAGAGAATTTTTTCACTTGAACCGTTTATTAATGGTGGAAATGGGGGGAAAACAACTTCTTTGGAGTTAAAAATGTAACCAACAAAATCTCATTTAAAGCATTATAATTAGGGTGATCAGATGTTCCGTTTTTATAGGGACAGTCCCATTTTTGGGGACTTTTTCTTATATAGGCGCCTATTACCTCCCACCCCCTGTCCCATTTTTTCACAGTTGTTATCTGGTCACCCTATAATAAAAGACATTTTTCTCTAAAGCAGACATAAAACTAGATAGATATATCATAAAGCCAATGGCAACTTCACAAACCGATGGCTACTATTACAAGGATAATAGGATACAACGAATCACAGGATAATTTTTCAGCCACTTTGTGGAGTGAAGATTGAGAACCACTACTCTATATTATGGACAGAGGCATGCAAAGTTACTGTAATGAAAACCAAACTGTTTTGCAGTTAGGAGAGTCCAAAAAGGATTCCAAAAGAGATTTGCACATGGACTGAAAAAGCCAAGGAAACAAATTGGTGAGAACAAGACCAAACTCTGAATTCTACCGTAACACTTTAATGGAAAATTATTAACTTCACAGGTAATCATTCCTAGAATTAAAATACAACTTTAAGACAAAATCTGTATTTCACACACAACTTTTCACCATTAGAAGATTTTTTTTTTAAATTTGGATTGTCTACACTTTACTCTTTGAAGAACATTTTTCCAGTGTTCTTAAAAAAAGGTAAACGGAAAACAAGGTTATCTGTAAGAACACACCCTCTTGTGGTGGAGGAGTTTGTGAAGATGCTGGGGCTCTCATGTTTTAAGCGGTTTTGTACTTTTCAGAGCTTCTCAAAGCAGGGACCTAGGCTGAAATCCTGGTGCTAAAAAACTCCCACCGCCTTACGTTTTCACCGCTTGTTTTTTACATGCTTGTGAAGAACCATGTAACATTAAGTCACTCTATAAATACCACCAAATTATTACTGATACATAAAGATGATCACCTAACGCAGATATTCATTTGTGCCTTAACTATCCCTGCAACCATTCCCAATACAGGAAGATGACTCCTAGCTTTTTGTGGGAGTTTCCCTACGATAACGCAGTCCAGCACATCTCCTGTGCATCAAAATACCCCAAAGAGTGAAAAACCAGCTCCCCCCACCCCCATTTCATATTGTACTGATGCTAATGCCACCACTGTTAATGCTCTTTGGCTTTCTCGTGATAACACGTGAGGTAGCAAAGTCTGCACTTAGCATCACATGTGAGACATAATAAAAGTAAGTCAAATTTTCAAGTTCAATGCCTTAAAAGTAGCATGTATATTTACCTCTTGATTCTACATTGATAGAAGACACTGTGACCGCACCAGGAAAGAATCTAAGCTGGTAGGACATGGAATCTTTGAAAACTACACCAACAAACTTTGAGGGGTTAACAGTACTAGCATCTTGCAATTCTTTTTCACTGAAAAATTCTTCTGTAATTACATCTGCAAAATATTAAAAATTAGAATGATATCAGAATGCTTCTGTGAGAAGAACAATCAAAAGTGGACTATGTATTTTAAGCAAAGATTGTGTCATTTCTAAATAGGGTAACTTGTTTTCAGTATTCAGGGCCAAATTTTGGTCCCATTGAAATTTATGAGAATGTTTCCCATTTACTTCAATGGAGCATGGATTTAAGTCTCAGCACTTGACAAGTCTGGTATGAGTTTTTAAAGGAAAATACATTTTAAAAATGAAAAGTGAAATTTTGCAGGGACTCAAAAACATTTATTGTTGCAATCAGAAGCCATGCATCACTCCCAAATGTGAAATTCATCAGAAAGAACTTGAAACCAGCAGATCAGGATACCCAGAAAAAGAAATGAAAGTTTCAGGTCGTGGTACCTGTGATCCTTTTCCTCTTGGCAGTCATGTACCATCTAAGCTACAAGTTCATACGAGGTTTTGGGGGTAGAATCAGTTTCAGCAACACAACTGTGCCAGTTCTATAGAGGAGGCACAACTTAACTGTGTTTTTTTAATCAGTTTCAAAACCAGATATTGACATGCTGCTAAATGAAACATTCATTAAAAACAACTTGTTTTGTAATACTCACAGGCTCTAAACCTGAAAGCCCTAGTTAAAATAAACTGATATCTTCCTTAATTTACCATACAACTGCTCTCAGTAAATCTGTTAGAATCTTTTTAGTCTGATGATACTACCTCGCACTAAGTCCAATCCTGAAACCCTCACTCAGATGAGTCATCCTGGACTTCAGTGGAATCACTGGTGTGAGGAAAGGGTACTACTATGAATAAGGGCTGCAAGATTGAGCACATGACTGGCATCACACAATGCTCATCAGCTGAAGCAGACAATGATGGCATCACAGCCCCTTCAAGATCTCAGCAGTAGAGGGGAGAAATACTGTCTAATCTACCTGAAGAGGACAAGTTTGATCAGCCATTCAAAGCAATAATATCGTATTTTCCATCTAAACACAAAAAAGAACATGAGATGTGGAAGAATAAAATAAATACAATACCATCTGCAAAGTATTCAAAAGACACTTTCTGCATGATTTTTCTTGTCATGTTTGTCACTGGTGTGTATCCAAGAATGGAGTCCAAGAGCATGGAGCGATCTAAAGTACCAAGATCAGTGTTGGGCACCTCACCAAACTTCCTATTTGGATGCATCATGCTCATTAATATAAGCCAAAATAAAAAAAATAGTGGAAAAAGGACTTCCTGTTGAAAAAACAACAACAAAAAACAAGACAACAATTAAAATCTCTCCTTTACTTAAATTATAAACGCTTCAAGAAGTGACTGTGTCCTTTTCAAATTATTTGATTGTAAAGCTTCCTGCACATTTATCGAACTAGATAAATAATCATTTCAATCTTGGCTGTTGCTGTAACGCGGCCACAGGATTTTGCTAACAGTGATAACTTGGGAAGCCGTCTTAGGATGCAAGTGCTCCATTCCAACTCCTAAGAAGTTATAAACCAAAGAGCAATCTCTGTGCTCAGTTACGTTGAAATTGGCGAAGTTACATGGATGAAGTGATGGCAAAATTTGGCTTCAGATGTTTTGGTGTCTGGTCTCTTATCTAGAACATGATTTGGCTTTTGGTATAAACTTAACATTTGCATTATCTGAAAATGAAAAAGAACTTGTATATATTTCCAGTCATGGAACAGTTAAGCAAGTCAAGCCAAGCCTTGTCTTGCCAAACAAGTAAGTTAAATGTTCTCTTGTTGACCCTTGTGGATCCCCCTAAAAACCCAGGTGCGTCACACAATAGAGCTGTTAAGCAAAATTTTATAATAGGTAAATGTTAGAAATGACATCATCACAAATACTTCCAATACAATATTTTAATCATTGTATTTATTGATTTATTGTTCTGTGGTGACATTTTGGGCTCGTGTTATGATTACACAATGGTACCTTTCAGTCCTGACTTCCAGAATTAGGTGTATTTATATAGTTCATATGCTGAAATGGAGGGTTATAGCTATGAATGCTCTTTCTAGTTCTGCCACTCTCCTGCAACCTGACACTGGGTGAACCACTTAGTCTGCCTGCAAATATTTCCTCATCAGCAAAACGGGTATTATAAGGCTTCATTAATGTTTTATAACATGCTTTGACATTCAAGGATGAATGATGAGATAGCACTCTGAAGTATTATTACGTTATTCTCAACAACACTATATTCTTAATTATCATTTAAACCATTTGTAAACATTTGCTTGAACGGTTCTTACCAGGAACCCCAATAGGCAGTTCTATTACCTAATTGCTCTTATCAGTAACAAGACATTCTAAACTTAATCTTGTACTTTATCAGTATTATTTTACTACATGTAATTCTGCCCTAAAATAAGTAATGTTATTTTACCCCAATTGGTCAGTTATACTCTCTAGAAAGTGAATAGAGAAACTGAAATTACCACATTCATACACAGAGACACACAGCAAGACTACTTCTATAAAAAGAACGGTGTGGCACCTTAGAGACTAACAAGATGCATCCGAAGAAGTGGGCTGTAGTCCACGAAAGCTTATGCTCTAATAAATTTGATAGTCTCTAAGGTGCCACAAGTCCTCCTGTTCTTTTTGTGGATACAGACTAACACAGCTGCTACTCTGAAACCTATTTCTATAAAGTATTTCTTGCCAAAGGATCACAAGGATGATCGAAGGAGCTAATATATTTCAGACCTGAGCTCACACTAATCAGTTATTCCTTCAATATTCAGAGACAATTTAACAAAGCTTAGTTTTGTTTCTAAGTCAGCTAATTTTTCAATCATAATCAGACACAGACACAGAGACCAGTAAATGATCACGTAACCTACCTGCACACTACTCTTCTTAGTCCTGCATTTAACAAGGTAGTTCTTGAATAAAAGAGCTTTGGTTTGTCTCCACACCCCTGCCTCCCCTGCAGTTTCTGCGGCCATTTTTCAAGAGTAGCCTGTTTAAAAAAACAAACCAAAAAAAAAGCATTTGAAGTGACAACTATTAGTTGTACCGTATCACTTTTTTTTAATGTAAAAAAGAGAAACTATGTGCCAGCTAATTATATTGTTCTATACCACTGAAACTGTTTTCCATTGTGTAAGCCCAATCCCACATTACGTTAAGAAGTTTGCACAGATACACACCCTAGACACATTTTTCAATTACAAGACAGATGTCGCACTGGGCTGCCTTATGGAAGCTTGGCATTCTGATATGTCTTTTTGGGAATACAATCTTCTATTCCAGCAAGTAAGTTTTCATATTAAAGTAATAAATAACCCTCTAGCCTTAATGGAAAAAACCTTTAAGCCCAAGGATAAAATAATGCAATGAGGTGTGTGCCTGTGTTTGCAGACAGTCTGAAGCAATACTTCCAGGTGGGGTCAACTACCCCCATTCATCCCAATAGTGCAGTAACACTGAAACCTAATGATAATATAAAAGGAGCTTTGTTAACTACTTCACTATGATCACAGCATGCAAGGAAGAAGAGAAAAGCATCAAATTATAAAAATTGTACAATCTCATGTGTGAATTTCTGGAAGACTACCAATTCTCATTTCCTTAATTTGACCCCTGGTTAGGCTGGCTCCATGGGGTATAAAAGAGTGCTGTGCACTGTCCTTTGGAGAAACAGATTTGAACACATTCTTCAAACAAACAGCTTCAGAGAGGTATCTGATCTAGTGGACTACACACAAGATTGGAGATCAATCTTGGATTTTTAGTCCCAGTTCTGCCACTGACTTGCTGTCAGGCTTGGGGCAATTCACTTAACCTCTATGTGTCTCCATTTCCTCAGTTGTAAAACAGAACAGTAGTTACCTCCATAACAGAGATGTTATGAGAATTGGTTTATGTTTGCATACCACTTTAAAGACATAAGCCACTCTAGATGATTAGCATTACCACCTTCACTGCCTTTCTCCTTAAGCCAATGGTGGCTGACAGCATAAAGAGATGACACAGTATCCTTAAGAGGAGGGTGAAGCATGTATCATGGTTTAGCACCCTTCTAGCTACTAACTTGTAAACATATGTCTATCCTCCAGGAGGAAAAGGGGAGAGGGATACGACAACGTAAGAATGTGGCAACTCAAAACAACAGATGGATGAAAAATGTACAATTTCCAGTAAACTTTGCACTCTGTTTCCAAAGGAAAGGGAACAACATTGGGCAAGTACCTTATCTGAAATGAATAGAGCCCACAGCATTGGGATGCTCTGCCACTAAAAGGGTTGTAAACAGTTATAGACATTTCTCAAATTCGGCGCCAGAATGCAAATGTTGATAGAGTTATAATAAAAATAAAATAATTATCTATTGCTATTCTATAGTTAGGACTGGTAAATATTTTTCTTTTTGCCGTACATTCAAAGTGCATGTAGCAATGTCCATTTACTCTGTCCTTTTAGACACCAGGTAGTTTAAGGTTACAGTACTCACTAAACTATGCTGCTAAACTATGAAAACTTGCTTTTGAGAGTACAGAAATCATCTGTCCAAGAGGACAGGCTCAATTAAGCTGAAGCTGACATGATTTATTTTAGCTTGTGGCACCAAAAACATAAAGTAAAACAACCTATTTGTAGCCAGATGCATATATCAAGTTTGTATGGGGGGTAGGGTGGGGGAACAAGACTACTCCTGGCTTATCTAGGCCCTGATGCTGAATTGAAATCCATCTAGGCTGACTCTTGCATTTGTGCAGTACCCCACTGACTTCAACATGAGGCTGTAATGGTCCATCCACGCAGATTCAGTTGCAGCATTTGGATTATTTTTGCAGGTTCACAGAAAAGCTAATCTCCCGGATGGATTCCATTTAGAATATGTTGCATCACATTTAAAAAAAACAAATCCACCTTATATTTTAAACTCCACTATTTTTTCCCTTTGTTAACAGAAAAACAAACCAAAAGTTCTTTAAAGGCCAACCTATGTTAATAATTAGATCTGATGGGGAAATGTGCAGATATAATTTCTCTAGAGATTTTCAAGTCAGCTACTTTAAACGGAATGAAAAACAATGTTGTGACAACAGGCATTGCTAGTTGTATTTATTTTCACTGTTGTTTAAATTCTGCTCTTGAATTTCAAACATTACAGAAGCCATCAGATTCTGCAAACACTTTTGCCGCCAAGCAGCTCTGCTGATTTACTCCCTGTGGGTTTGCAGACCTGGGGACTAAATCCGCATGCCCTCTTTTATCAGAGACTTTACTCTCTTTTAAGGTCAATAAAAATGTAGCCTATAAGTTAGGCAGTTCCCATTTAACCAAATAGTCATTTAAGACCAATTATAGTAAAAATACTTCCATGCATTCAGTGGGTAATTAACCAAATTACCCAGTTCTAGTTAAGGGACAAAAATAACTTCAAAAGCATTAAATTAATCCTTAATATGACCTCTTGTAAAGTGTCCCCATGGAGGACTATAAAAGTGCATAAAATAAAACTGCATTTCAGACAGCTGAGAATATACCAGACTTCCTTGCAAACACAGATAAAGGAAGTGGTTTGAAGCAACTCTACCTGGCCCCGGGGGTGTTTCAGTCAAAGCAGTGCCCAGAAAATTACTGTCTTCCTAAGTTATTTTCACATGTGGGATGCGGACGCTTATATCAGTGCAGCACAAGGACAGTACTAAAAAGAGAAGCTGAGGGGACTGAGAGATTATTTTTCTGCACCAAATGGCCTTTCAACATCAACTGCACTGACTTTACTTGAAAAAACAAACAAACGCTAGACTGCAGAATAGTCATTCACAATTTAGCTTGTTTGTTTGTTTAGGTTGAAAGTGAAGGTAACGTGCCAAACTAGCCTCATTTGGAAGCGTGGTTGAAAAGCAACAACCAAGCCAGCGCTAAATGAAAAATAAAACCCTGGTCCAGAAAGATGACACTATATGTAGGGATGAAGAGATAAATAGTTCATGGTCATCCAGTTGTAGGAAGGCACCAGACATGATGACCATAAAAAAGGGAAATGCCCTCATCCTGTCTGCCACCTTCTCAAACATTTTAAGCTAAGTGCTCGATTTAAGAATTTTACAAAAGGAACTAAATTCTTCCTCAGAACTGCATCTCTCTCTCTCATGAATGCCAGCCGGACCTCAGTGTTGGTGGAACACAATACATTTATCTACAAGATAGAAATGACAATTGAATTGCAGGATAACATCAGTTGAAAATATAATCCACCAAGTTGCATTAAGAGAATGGTTTACACAATGGCTCTTTCTTTTCTCAGTGGTCTGAGACTTTCCTATTCCTCTCTGATCTGGCCAAATGCTCTCCCGGCCTAGAGACTTCTAGCAGATTCCTAACCGCAAGTTCTCTCTCCGACACAATCTTTGTTTCTTTGCCTGTGAACTTGTGGAAAATGCCCTATCTTGGTCCTCTCCATTTTTCATTTCCCTCCTTTGATTCCCTTTTTCTCCACACTCTCTCTTCTACATTCATGCAAACCTATCAGAACTAAAATACATGCATAAACTACATTTCATAGTGCTTACTGTACAATTAGGGGAGACTGTAACAACATATATAGTAGCTAATGCTCTGATTAAATGAAAGGTTTCACTTGCTTGCATACAGTTAGGCGTCTCACCCATCTTTTCCTATATCATCCGTCAATACAGGATAGCATGGATGCATTACAATAGATAGTGGACTGGGGTGGGGGGAGTTTCAAGAGTGAATAAATATAAATCAGAAACATCCCTAATGTTCCAATGTCCAGCATATTAGCCTGCCACTTGCTTTGCAGGTCTGGGATTCACTCTTTGGACAATAAAATGTTAAACCAACACGTATACAGAAAAGGCAATCAATCTCCTCTCCAATGGATACGTGGCATCCTACCTGCTAGCTCTGTTTTATAAGTGACTAAAGGCCCATAATTTGAATCTAAGCAACTAAAGGCCCATAATTTGAATCTGACAACCCATTCCAGCCTCTGTGCCTCCATTTCCCCATCTGTAAAATGGGGGGGTAATGATATTCACTTACCTCATGGGGCGCGTTTGCAGAGCACAGGGACGTCCTCAGACGCAAGGCTCTACAAAAAAGCATCAAAGTATTACACACAACTAGCACAAGCAAATGGAGCCTTGTTGACCATCAGGATAGACAGCAGAGAGGATGGGGTTATTACTACCTCTTTATTTCTAGACATTACAAATACACATAGCTATCCACCGGCCATGCCTACATCAGACAGTAGATATACACCAATATATCACAGGAGATATGCGAGCCAAACTGATCACGGCATTGCCAATGATATGTAATCTGTATAACACACACACATACACGACTTCTTAGGGCCCTTCCACCACACATCCCCCCTACCACACACACACACACACCTCCCCCCCCGCCCCCGACTTCTTAGAGCCCTTCCACCACACATCCCCCCCGCCCCACACAGACACACACAGACACACACACACGACTTCTTGGGGCCCCCCCACTAGACTCCCCGTGGCGTGTAAACGCACGGGGGCTCCGCCCAAGAACACCTGCCGTGGGTACCGCGGGCCCGCCCGGCCGCGCTCAGCCCGGGGAGATCGCGGCCGGGCTCCGGCCCCCCGGCGCAGGGAAGATGCCGCGGGCTTTGCGCCCAGCCGGGAGGGGGGCAGGTCCCCGTGTGAGCCCGGCGCGGGTCCCTCCTCCGCCCCCCGCGGCTGCACTCACCGCCCCGCCTGCTCGCGAGTGCCCGGCCGCAGCGCGCAGCCACCACCCGGCGCCAGCGGAGGGCCGGGCCCCGCTTGCCGCTCACCGCCCCCGGGGCGGGGCCGGGCGGCTGGGGCAGGGCCCGAGCTCCCGGCCGCTGCGGCTCTGCCCACACAATCCCCCCCCCCCAAGGGGCTGGGGGCACCCGGGCCTGACAGCCCCCATCAAGCTACCGTGTCTGCCCCGCCCTGGCTGCCCCTTCAGCCCCCTCCCCCAGGCTGGGGGGGAATCCTGCCCAGACAACTCCCCTACACCCTCAGTAGGCTAGCATGTGGGCAGGACGCCCCCCACCCCTGTAACTTCTCTGCCTCATGCACCCCCACCCCCCAAGCTATTGGGGGATACCTTGCCTAGGTAACCCCCCCACCGCGCTCCCTCAGGCTAATGCGGGGGGCATTTTGCCCCAACACCTCTCCCCCACCCTAACCCTCTCCATTTAGCCAACTTAGGCGGTTGCCTAGGGCACCAGGATTTGGGGGGTGGGCGGCATTTTGCTGCCCTTGGCGGCAATTCGGCGGCAGGGGGTCCTTCTGTGCTCCGGGTCTAAGGCGGCAATTCTGCGGCAGGTCCTTCACTGGCTCCGGGACCCGCCGCCGAAGGGCCCCGAAGACCAGGAGCGCGGAAGGACCCCCGCCTAGGGCGCCAAAAACCCTGCTGCCACTCCTGCCCTGACCCCCAAGTCATTGCCAGACACGAGGGAGGTGGGGTGTCCTGCCCACCAATGCCCTTAAAGCAGGGCCTGGCTGCCTTAAACACCATCACAACATCCCCCCTGCCCAACTTGTATCATTTTAGATATCTCAAAAAACATCTGCATACTCTGAATTTGTATGCTGCTTCTGTTCAAGTGAGTGCAAAGAAACCTGGATCTCTACCCAGAGCTCATTAACTGCAGAATCTTTCCCATGACACTGAGATAATAAACCACTCTGGACTTTGTTACCTCTTCCTAAGCCACTGAGAGTCTGATACAAGAGTTTCTCATCTAAGCCCTGCTCAACACTACAAATTTACATCGGTATAATTATGTTGCTACGCAGTTATACCGACCTAAGCACCAGTGTAAATAGTGCTATGTTGTTGGGAGGGCTTCTTCTGTCAACATACCTACCGCCTTTCAGGGAGGTGGATTACCTAAGCCCTCCCCTCGGTAAGCGTAGACAAGCCCTCAGGAACAAGCAATGCCATTATTACCACCAATATACAAACCAGGTTACAAACCATAGTTAATAGTTCTGCAATTTCATAGATCTTACATTTACACATCAGCTTAACTTTGAGCACAAGCATAGTCCCATTAAATTCCCATTAAGTTCAGTTCAATTCACCTCATACAAGTACTGTAGTGCAATCTCTATCATGAAAGTGGAACTTACAAATGTAGATTTTTTTTTGTTACATAACTGCACTCAAAAACAAAACATTGTAAAATTTCAGAGCCTACAAGTCCACTCAGTCCTACTTCTTGTTCAGCGAATCGCCAAGACAAACAAGTTTGTTTACATTTACAGGAGATAATGCTGCCCATAATTCTACATTTGTAAGTTAAACTTTCATGATAAAGAGATTGCACTAGAGTACTTGTATGAGGTGAATTGCTAAATACTATTTCTTTTGTTTTTTTACAGTACAAATACTTGTAATCAAAAATAAATATAAAGTGAGCACTGTACACTTTGTATTCTGTGTTGTAAAATGTAGAAAACATCCAAAAATATTTGAATAAATAGTATTCTATTATTGTTTAACAGTGCGATTAATTGCAGTTAATTTTTTTAATCGCTTGACAGCCCTAGTACTTAACTATAGAGTATCTAATCCCGCCTCATCTGCCAGTACAAGCAATTCCCACACACAGACACAAGACACACATTCAGTGAAGCAACTGTAAGAATTTTATTATTATTTTTAACATAGCAAAGCCTTATTTTTCTTTATTCTCATGCTTGGAAATGGCTGAACCTTTCAAAAAAAAAAAAAGTGGGAAAGCCCGAATGTCCACAGTAGTTTTAGATGTCTCCACTTTTCCACTGTAATGCCTTTGAATCGGGAACCTATCTTGAGCATTAAAGCTGAGTGAATAACATTTAATAAATTATATCTTCATTGTCTGTTTGCTAAGTGCTAGTGAGCAGATTGCAGTATTCTCACATTTATTGTTTGAAATTATATGCAAATTTCTTCATGAGTTTTTCCCTACCAGCTCACCCATCAACAGTTCAATGCAAATTCTCTATATCTGAAGATCATCCTGTGTGGACCGATTACATCATATAGTGTTTTTTCTGTTCCTTATTTTATTCTTTTTTGTTTAGGCTCTTATATCACTCGTGTCACTATAGTACCTGGACATCTTCCATCATGCATTAAGGGATGTGACTAACATCTGTCATGTGTGGTTCCTTCTCTTTCATCCCCGCTCCAGGAGAAAACGGTGTGTGTAGATTAGTGTTTTGTTTTGGCAGAATATTGCTGAGTTTTAGAGAAGGCATTTGCAGAAGTGTGCCTTGCAGGTAGAGGAGAAGGTGGTGAGGTTTGTGATGGCCCATAGTTCCCGTTGGAGTTCATTACACAATCTTGGACTGATCCCTGAGAATAAGTTCCATTTCCTGTGGGGATGATCTTTACGCTTATGGTAGAATGGTCCATTGTGCTTGAGGAGTGCAGTTATCGATCAATTCATACTGGACGTGATCTTTTACATATGCTGGGTCCTGGCCCTTGAGTGCCTTAAAGATAAGGACTGAGACCTTGAATTTGACTTGCTACTCTATGGCAAAGCACTGTAGACAGCGGAGGAGAGGTCTGATGTGCTCATGGTAGTCCAGGTTGCTGAGGAGAAGTGCAATGGCATTCTATACTAGTTGACGTTTCTTAAGGGCTGATGGGCTTCATCCCTATACTGCATTCCTGTAGTCCAGATGGGAGATGACTACAGTGAGTCTAACTGAGGCCAGGTCTCCATCCCATCCTGGCAGATGTTTTCTACCATTTTCAGGTGCCTAGAAGACACCATTACTTGCATATGCTACTATGCAAGAGTTTAGTGTCAGCAAGGAATCAAGAAGTCTCCTTAACTATGGGTTGATTTGACCAATTATTGGTATGTGTACCTTCACCCAAAGGAGATTGCACAGCAGATGCAAACTCTTTGAAGTGCTCCAATGAACTTTTTTCATCTGTGAGCTGATCTCATCAAGCAGTTGGCTATCGATGTGGCAGTGTTATGGTCTAATGTAGGGAAGGATAGGTAGAACTGTGTGTCATCTACATATTGTTGGCACTTGAATCCACAGTCTTACTGTCTCACCTAGAAGCTGCATGTAGAGAATTGATCATTGTGGAAGGTGGTGCAGTTTACCATCACTACTCTAAATTCTTCCTGGAGGGAAGCAGCCAAATCCCATTTTATTGCATTAGGCCCCTGCCACTTCTCTCAGGCAGGACAGCAGTATCTCTCAGTCAACAGTGCTGAATGCAGCAGAGAGGTTCAGGAGGATGAGAACAGATATCTCCCCACCATCCATTGAGAGCAGATCATGCATCTGTGCCATTAAAGCGGTTTCTGTTCCATCTCTTTGCCTGATGTTGTGCTGCATCTACGATACAGCTTCAATTAGATGAACTTGTAGTTGGCCTTTTGGCTAGTTCTGAGAACCAATGTATCCAGGGTGGGTTTCTTGAGTGTCAGTTGCATTACTGTATGTTTGGAGGAGGAACAGGAAAATTCCTTCCCTGAATGAGACATTGGCTATTTCAATCAAGAGCGGCACCAGTTCTTACTGATTCTCTCAGGAAAGGCACAGGTGAGATTAACAGATTTTGGGTCAAGACTCCGTTAGGGCATTCAGTACACCAAGGAGTGACGGTACTGAACTCTGGGAGTACAGGTGGGCTATTTGTTGACCAGTATAGGGGGAGCAGATCCAGGCTGTTTGAGAAGTTTTCCTGAACTTGTGTGATGTATTCAGTGAGGTAGGAGGATAGTCTGCAGGACTTCATTCTGGCTTCTGTAGGCACTCAGAACTGATGAAACAGTTTAACACCCTGGATAGCGCCTTAGGGCAAGATTTGACAGCTTTAATGGTAGCTGATAGGTAGGTTCTCTTGGTTTGTAATACAGCCTAGGAAGAGGGTTAGAGAAACTCTTTCATTCTGTCAGTTTCAGGCTTTGTTTTCCACAATCATCCCTCATGTTTTTGACCTTCTGTCTTCATCTGATGCAGGGTGTCAGAAAACCAAAGAGATTTATGTGAGTGATAGGGAAGAAGGGACTGTCTGAGAGTCAGCGCACTAATGGTCAGGACTAGTGTACATTGATAGCAATTCACCAGATCTGCAACCCCTCCTGTTGATGGACTGCTGCTGCCCTTTGGCATAACTTCTGTAATTAACTAGTCATAGCTCAGATTTTGAATATACGATTCAAAATGCACACGTGAGCATTTGAGCTCTATTCAATATATGTTGATTTGCTATTAGGAGTGAAGTACATACCACAGACTGCACTACATTTGCAGGCTAAGGCCATGTCTACACTTACCGGGGAATCGACGCTGCTGCAATCGATTTAGCGGGGATTGATTTAGCGGGTGTAGTTAAGACCTGCTAAATCGACCGCAGAGTGCTCTCTGGTCGACTCCACTGGAACGAGAAGATTAAGGTAAGCATCTCCCGACAGCACAATAAGTTGACCTAAGCTACATCGACTCCAGTTTCGTTATTCACATAGCTGGAGTAGCATAACTTAGGTTGATTTATCCCGGTAGTGTAGACAAAGCCTAAGTATTTCTGCGCTGTCCTGGGAACTTTGAAATACAGTGGGATTCTCAATGGCACATATGGAATATTCCTTTCCCAGACAAGCTGTTCATGGACATTTCTTTCATTTTCCCATTGCATCAGCTCTTGTGTATAACTCTTCATGGAA